TCATTGGACACTGTGTTAACAAACCTCCAAACGAGCTTCAATGCCATACAACACTCCTTCAGTAGCCTCCAACTGCTCTTAAACACTAGTAAAACTAAATGCATGCTTTTCAATCGAACGCTGCTGGCACCCGCCCACCCGACTAGAATCACCACTCTTGACGGGTCTGACCTAGAGTATGTGGACAACTACAAATACCTAGGTGTCTGGTTAGACTGTAAACTCTCCTTCCAGACTCACATAAAGAATCTCCAATCCAAAGTAAAATCTAGAATTGGCTTCCTATTTCGCAACAAAGCCTCCTTCACTCATGCTGCCAAACATGCCCTCGTAAAACTGACTATCCTACCGATCCTTGACTTCGGCGATGTCATTTACAAAATAGCCTCCAACACTCTACTCAGCAAATTGGATGTAGTCTATCACAGTGCCATCCGTTTTGTCTCCAAAGCCCCATACGCTACCCACCACTGTGACCTGTACGCTCTTGTTGGCTGGTCCTCACTACATGTTCGTCGTCAAACCCACTGGCTCCAGGCCATCTATAAATCACTGCTAGGCAAATCCCCGCCTTATCTTAGCTCATTGGTCACCATAGCAGCACCCACCCGTAGTCTGCGCTCCAGCAGGTATATCTCACTGGTCATTCCCAAAGCCAACACCTCCTTTGGCCGCCATTCCTTCCAGTTCTCTGCTGCCAATGACTGGAACGAATTGCAAAAATCTCTGAAGCTGGAGACTCTTATCTCCCTCACTAACTTTAAGCATCAGTTGTCAGAGCACCTTACCGATCACTGCACCTGTACACAGCCCATCTGAAATTAGCCCACCCAACTACCTCATCCCTATATTGTTATTTATTTTGCTCTTTTGCACCCCAGTATCTCTATTTGCACATAATCTCTTGCACATCTAGCATTCCAGTGTTAATACTATTGTAATTATTTTGCACTATAGCCTATTTATTGCCTTGCCTCCATAACTTGCTACATTTGCACACACTGTATATATATTTTCTGTTGTATTTTTGACTTTATGTTTTTTACCCCATATGTAACTCTGTGTTGTTTTTATCGCACTGCTTTGCTTTATCTTGGCCAGGTCGCAGTTGTAAATGAGAACTTGTTCTCAACTGGCTTACCTGGTTAAATAAAGGTGAAATAAATAAAAAATAAAAAGGGGTGCGAAAGTGAACGGCGAGGCACTGGAGCGACGAACTGCCCTTGCTGTCTATGCCTGGCCGGTTCCCGTCTCTCCATTGGGATTCTCTGCCTCTGACCCTATTAAGGGGGCTGAGTCACTGGCTTACTAGTGCTCTTCCGTGCCGTCTCTAGGAGGGGTGCGTCACTTGAGTGGGTTGAGTCACAGACGTGATTTTCCTGTACGTTTTTGCGCCCCCTCGGGCTCGTGCGGTGGAGGAGATCTTTGTGTGCTATACTCAGCCTTGTCTCAGGGTAGTAAATTGGTGGTCTGTTGATATCCCTCTAGTGGTGTGGGGGCTGTGGTTTGGCAAAGTGGGTGGTGTTATATCCTGCCTGGTTGGCCCTGTCCGGGGGTCTCATCGGACGGGGCCACAGTGTCCCCTGACCCACCCCTGTCTCAGTCTCCAATATCTATGCTGCAATAATCTATGTGCCGGGGGGCTAGGGTTAGTCTGTTATATCTGGTGTAATTCTCCTGTCTTATCTGGTGTCCTGTGTGAATTTAAGTATGCCTCTAATTCTCTCTCTCTCCCTCTCTCCTTCCCCTCCCGGAGGACCTGAGCCCTAGGATCACGCCTCAGGACTATCTGGCCTGATGACTCCTGGCTGTCCCCAGTCCACCTGGTCATGCTGCTGCTCCAGTTTCAACTGTTCTGCCTGCGGTTAGGGAACCCTGACCTGTTCACCGGATGTGCTACCTTGTCCCGGACCTGCTGTTTTCGACTCTCTCTCTCTCTCTACCGTACCTGCTGTCTCTACCTCTGAATGCTTGGTTATGAAAAGCCAACTGACATTTACTCCTGAGGTGCTGACCTGTTGCACCCTCTACAACCAGTGTGATTATTATTTGACCCTGCTGGTCATCTATGAACGTTGGAACATCTTGAAGAACAATCTGGCCTCAAATGGCCATGTACTCTTATAATCTGCACCCGGCACAGCTAGAAGAGGACTGGCCACCCCTCAGAGCCTTGTTCCTCTCTATGTTTCTTCCTAGGTTCCTGCCTTTCTATGGAGTTTTTCCTAGCCACCGTGCTTCTACAACTGCATTGCTTGCTGTTTGGGGTTTTCGGCTGGGTTTCTGTATAGCACTTTGTGACATCTGCTGATGTAAAAAGGGCTTTATACATTTATAAATAAATGTGATTGATTGATTGAAATGCTAGAGTATACCTAAGTATTGAAAGTAAAAGTAAAAGTATAAATCATTTCAAATTCCCTATAATAAACAAACCAGATGTCACCATTTTCTTGTTTTTTTTATTTACGGATAACCAGGGGCACACTCCAACACTCAGACATAATTTACAAACGAAGCATGTGTGTTTAGTGAGTCCGCCAGATCAGAGGCAGTAGGGATGACCAGGGATGTTCTCTTGATAAGTGTGCGAATGGACCATTTTCCTGTCCTGCCAACATGTAACAAGAACTTTTGAGCGTCAGGGAAAATCTATGGAGTAAAAAGTACATTATTTTCCTAAGGAATGTAGTGAGGTAAAAGTAAAAGTTGTCAAAAATATAAATTGTAAAGTACAGATACCCCCAAAAAACTACTTAAGTAGTACTTTAAAGTATTTTTACTTAAGTATTTACACCACTGGCATTATGTGGGTTGAATACTGTAATAGCATAGAATAAAACAATTAATATAAGTCCCATGATGGTATTGACTGCCCATTACTGCTTATCACTTATTAACCATAATTTATTCACATTACTTTATGTTAATAAAATATTTTGTTGTGTATATTACATTTGTTTTATTTGATGACTTTATTATTTCATTCCAAGTCATCATCTCATCGCTATAGAGATGCTGCCTATGCTTTCTGACAAAGTCACTATTTTGTAGTTCTTCAAAGTAAATAAGGCATACTTTTATAACTGTTGAATACCAACTATCAATCACTTAGATCATGTATTTTCAGGTAGAGATACCTTGAGAACAGTGGAGGCTGGTGTGAGGAGCTATAGGAGGATGGGCTCATTGTAATGGCTGGAATGGAATCAATGGAACGGAGTCAAACATGTGGTTTCCATATGAATTATGTGTTTGATACTATTCCATTCCAGCCAGTACAATGAGCCCATCCGCCTGTAGCTCCTCCCACCAGCCTCCACTGCTCGTGAAACAACAGCTGCTCTCTACATGCCCTCACAATAGTGCATTCATCTGTCTCTTCCGTAACAGGCGTAAAAGAAACACAGACCAGACAAGTAGATGCGCAATGGATTATGGTCATTGTAGTTAATTACCACGTTTTAAGTGCTAAACTATGTAAAATATTGGTCCTGTTGGAAACTACAACTCCGTACTACGTCGCACAGTTCAGGCTGTATCTGATTTATCTCTAGAGAAACTGTGCAATGTGCACATTGAGCTCAGAAAAAAACAATTCAAGTAATTGAACCGATGTCGGTCTTCTAGTTGCATAAAAAAACGAAATATAACCGACATTTCGGTTAATGGATCAGCCCTAGTATGCCTATTGTGGCCTTTTTAGTGTGATATGTTTATTTGTTTTTTTACTCCCAAATTGGTAGTTACAGTCTTGTCCCATCGGTGCAACTCCTCTACGGACTCAGGAGAGGCGAAGGTCGAGAGCCATGCGTCCTCCGAAACACGACCCTGCCAAGCCACACTGCTCGCTTAACCCAGAAGCCAGCCGCACCAATGTGTCGGAGGAAACACCGTCCAGCTGGCAACCGATGTCAGCTTGCAGGCGCCCAGCCCGCCACAAGGAGTCGCTAGAGCGCGATGGGACAAGGAAATCCCAGCCAGCCAAACCCTCCCCTAAACCGGACGACGCTGAGCCAATTGTGTGCCGGCTCATGGATCTCCCAGTCACAGCCGGCTGTGACACAGACTAGGATCGAACTTGGGACTGTAGTGACGCCTCAAGCACTGCAATGCAGTGCCTTAGACCGCTGCGCCACTCGGAAGGCCTTAGTGTGATATGTTACCATTAAATTAGTAACATCCATTCAACCATTTTTTGTTATTCTACACCTAACCCACTGTATTCTCTGTGGTGATTTGTCATAGACATAGATAGATTACACGTCTCTGCATCTGTCCTTTTATGGCATCTGTGAGAGCACGTGCAGCACCATTGAGGCCATTTCCATTTTGAAGTAGTCCATTTTTTTCCTCTACTACTGCTATTGGTTGGTAAACATTTACATTTTAGTAATTTAGCAGACACTCTTATCCAGAGCGACTTACAGTTAGTGAGTGCATACATTTTCATTTTCATACTGGCCCCCCTGTGGGAAACGAACCCACAACCCTGGCGTTGCAAGCGCCATGCTCTACCAACTGAGCTACAGGGGACAAACTGAAAGGGCGCATACTGCCACCTGGAGTGTGCTGTTTGAACAGGTATGAAGCCAAGGTTGCCGATATACTGCCCCATGCAGTTATGGTTGGAATGTTTGCTCACAAGTATAATTAATTGGCTGACCCCTCCTGGTGACCTGGATGGAATTATGTGATCCTTCCTTAACCCATAGGAGGCCCCACCCAGTTGACTACTTCAACATGTGAAATTCCTCAATGGCGCTGCCCATGCTAAAATGGGCTTTTGGGCACTAGAGTTGTCTAAGTTGATTTGTTACAAATTTAATTGTTCTGTGGCATGGAGCTCAACATAAGTGTGAAAGTGGTGACATCTAGTGTCAAAAATAGGTGATGACAGGTTTGAACGAAATAAACCAATGGGCTTGCTGTTTACTCAGAACTGTTTCTCTTGACCAATCAGTGCTAACGATGTTGTTCTAATCGTTTGAAAAATAAAGATGGCGTTCATTGTCTTGTAAATCTGATTGAGTCCCACATTAGGCTAACTTTACATTTATCTATTAAATTGATACATTCTGGACGTTTCATGTAAGTATTCATTTAACTGGTAGTTTATCATAGTATTCATATTGAATACGCCAGGGCTGTCGTTGCAAGCCACTCGTGCAACTTCAATTTGCCTGCACAGACAGTACAGACAGCTAGCTACTGTAGCTAACTAATGATAGTTAGCTAGCTTGCTAGCTAGCCACTTTGCTGAGGAAGACAGATTGCTCGCTAGTCATGTTTTTGGTAGATAATTATATTTCTCAAATGTACATTGTAATACGTGAACAACTGTCTTGCAAACAGTCTACACGGTAAAAAAAAACAATAAGCTAGCTAGAACGCCTCCCCGGGACCACCCATACGTAAAAATGTATGCGCACATGACTGTAAGTCGCTTTGGATAAAAGCGTCTGCTAAATGGCATATTATTATTAGTATTAGTTCTGTCTGGTCCGCATGGCGTTACGTGCGCGGCTGAGCCTTCTTTAACATCTCCTTTCCAGATGTGTTGCCACATTTTGTTTAGTGACTGGCTTCAATACTTTTGCTATTTCTCACCAAAGCAACGATGTTGGTAAAGCGCGCTCAAATTGTTATCTGTCTGGGTAGGGTGTCATTTCTCCAAAATACGAATAAACAACTTTTGAACACTTTGTTTACAACCAGACTGGTTCTGGTTCATGCGCGCGTGTCAGATCTGCACTATACGCTTAATTGCGGTCCGACGTTTCACCAAGAAAAACGTATATCATGGAGCTTATACATCTTATGACATTTTCATATGCAAAAAAAACAAACACTTGATTTCCATGTGGTTGATAATGTGTGTGGCACTTGTCAGTATGAAGGTGGTCAATTTGAAACAAGCCATCCTCCAGGCTTGGAAGGAGCGCTGGAGTGACTATCAATGGGCCATCAACATCAAAAAGAACTTCCCAAAGGGAGCCACATGGGACTACCTCAACTTGGCAGGTCAGCTGACTTATGTTGATCATCCATGTAAATGCTTGCGAAGTGGAAAGTAAACAATGAATGAGTATGATTTAATTATTGTTGTATTTCCCTATGTTCCAGAGGCTCTCATGGAGCAGGCAATGATTGGCCCTTCTCCCAACCCGCTCATCTTGTCCTACCTCAAGTATGCCATCAGTTCCCAGGTAAGGTTGACATTTTGAAACCCATATTTTACCCTATACATAACCTCGAAATACACACATAGTCCAGGCGATAATGTGAAAAACGTTTTGCTAAAAGCATGAAAGTTTGTACACTTGTACAGTTTGAGGCCCTGAACATTTTCAGATATGGAGCGATCGCAAAAATGTCTCATGGCGGCCATTTTCTATTCCGCCATAACCAAATAATGTATTTTCCGTCATATCTCCTGAACCAAACATGATAACATAGAACATGTCATGTCTAACCCTATGTTTTGATGGTCAATGATTACAATGGTGCCATGTACAACATCATAAACAGTTCAGATTATTATATAATGGTGGACTGCCATGGGAAGAAATCCAATAAAATCGCTGTTTCTGAAAACGTACTCAATAGAATATTATTTCTGTGGCATACTGTTGTCTATTGCTGTGAATGCGGATACTGTGTGTAGGGTTCACACAAGGTGCTTAAAGTACTTGAATTTGGCACTCTGAAATTCAAGTACTAGAATACCTTGAAAATCAGACATTTTCTCAAATTGCTACTTGAAAACTACTGATCAAATATGTTAATATGAAAAATATTAGAAAAATGTCTTGGTCTAGTGAATTCATTTCCAGGCAGACTACCGAGTTTTATTTCCTCACGTTTCACACTCGGGTTGCTAGGCGAGCTTGCTCATTCCACCCACACTGCCACTCAGACAGGCAGGTACATAACTGACTAATTAGGCGCCGCCAAACGTCAATAGCTAAAATGCCAGGCAAATATAGATTCAATCCTGCATGGCAGGATATTGATGTTTTATGAATGGGTTTTGCCATACCCAACCAGGGATGTAGTGGAGGGTAAACACCGTTTACGCAACTTTTTATTTGTGAAATAGCGTTTACTCACCTTATTATTTTGTTCATTATCATTTACGCACTTACTGTGTTCCCAGTTTTGATCAACGCTCAAGGCTTCTTGATCGCGCCTACCTCTGTGAACAAGTGAACGATTCATGTATGCTCGTTACGTTTGCCTGCTCCCCCGGATTTGCCTTGTTAGCAGCGCATTCATTCACCACTCTGTCCAACGGGAAACTCTGCTCTGTCAACAGACATCCCCCAAACAAAACGCCCCTGACTCTCTGAGAATGAGTCTACAACTAAGCTAGCTATAATCAAAAGATGGTCTACTATAGGTTCTCATGACAAAATACATTTTCTTTACAGAGAGTAGTGAGACAGACAGTGGTGAGTCAGGCTGCAATGAAGGAGGCAAAGAAGATGCATAGAGAGAGGAAGCATTGAAGCAAGCAGGGAGCGAGGTTAGTAGTACAGTGGCTCCCAAACTTGGGGTCAGGGACCCATCTGGGGTCCCCTAAAATGTAAATAGGGTCCCCTGAGAGAATCTTTAATCTTATCAAACACATCAACTTGTTTCTCTTCAAATGGGTATAGAATACAACATTTAGAGTCAACTAAGAGCCTTTTTACACTGTTAGAATTCACTTTCATGTCATGTGTTGGGACAGCCTTTGCGACCAAACATTTTGTGAAATATAAAGACAATTTCAATATAAAGACAATTTAATAATATTATATAATGTACACTGAACAAAAATATAAACGCAACAATTTCAACGATTTTACTGAGTTACAGTTCAAATAAGGAAATCAGTCAACATCATCAGTACTGACTTACCACTCATGTATGTAGTAAATAAGTAGTGAAACACGTATTATTGAGTAGAACTTGTAAGGAAGGTAGTGATGAATAGTATGTGGTCCTCTGTAGCTCAGCTGGTAGAGCACGGCGCTTGTAACGCCAAGGTAGTGGGTTCGATCCCCGGACCACCCATACACAAAAAAAATTATGCACGCATGACTGTAAGTCGCTTTGGATAAAAGCGTCTGCTAAATGGCATATTATTATTATTATTATTATTATTATTCGTATGTTTTTTTCTTTTCTTCATGAGGTTGTGGCGATATACTGCCATCAGGTGGCGACTAGAGACATTTTACATTTTAGTCATTTAGCAGACGCTCTTATCCAGAGCGACTTACAGTTAGTGATTACATATATATATATATATATTATTTTTTTATACTGGCCCCCCGTGGGAATCGAACCCATAACCCTGGCGTTGCAAATGCCATGCTCTATCAACTGAGCTACATCCCTGCCGGCCATTCCCTCCCCTACCCTGGATGACGCTGGGCCAATTGTGCGCCGCCCATGAGTCTCCCGGTCGCGGCCGGCTGCGACAGAGCCTGGATTCGAACCAGGATCTCTAGTGGCACAGTTAGCACTGCGATGCAGTGCCTTAGACCACTGCGCCACTCAGGAGTCAGAGACAATTGCATAATAGGAACTATTAGAAATTGATGGTCCTTGAAAATAAATATTAGTGTTTGAAAAAGTTATTGAAAGTCTTTGAATTTTACTTGCCACTGTCTGTACGAACCCTGTGTGTAACATTGTAAAATCACAGAACACAGGAACCTTTGTAATTGTCTGGACCCAGGGACACATACAGCACGTACCTCAACTGCATGTGGGTCCCAAATGCCACACATCACTCCTTAAATTATATATATATTTCAGAAGAGAACATTTCCATTTTTGAGCAATTCACAATTCTCCTTTATGATTGCACTAACAGTCAAAATAACATCAACCAAGCTCGTTTTGAGATATTCATGAAGAAAGGAACAGATAAGGTACAAATCCACACAAACATTATGCTTTGGTTCAGCACATAAAAATCAATGAATACAAATATTATTTGGCCCTTTTCAAACAACAATTGTCACACAGTTTTCTATGTTATCATGTTTGGTTCAGGAGATATGATGCAAAATAAATTATTTGGTTATGGCGGAATGGTGTTTCTGATGTTGTGCGTGCATGAAGGAGAATTGTGAAGTGCTCCAAAATGGAAATGTTATTTTCTTAAATATAATTTGAGGAGTGGTGGGTGGCATTTGGGACCGACAAGCACTTCCACCATGCTCGACACAATGTTTACAGAGGACACTAATATTTGCGTATACTCTACATACAGTGCATTCAGAAAGTATTCAGACCCCTTCACTTTTTCCACATTTTGTTACGTTACAGCCTTATTCTAAAATGGATTAAATTGTTTTTTCCTCTCATCAGTCTACACAAAATACCCAATTTTGACAAAAAAACTGGTTTTTATAAAAAATTGAAATATCACATTTACATAAGTATTTAGACCCTTTACTCAGTACTTTGTTGAAGCACCTTTGGCAGCGATTACAGCTTCGAGTCTTCTTGGGTATGACGTTACAAGCTTGGCACACCTGTATTTGGGGAGTTTCTCCCATTCTTCTCTGCAGATCTTCTCAAGCTCTTTCAAGTTCGATGGGGAGCGTCACTGCACAGCTATTTTCAGGTCTGTCCAGAGATGTTAGATCGGGTTCAAGTCCGGGCTCTGGCTGGGCCACTCAAGGACATTCAGAGACTTGTCCTGAAGCCACTCCAACGTTGTCTTGGCTGTGTGCTTAGGGTCGTTGTCCTGTTGGAAGGTGAACCTTCGCCCCAGTCTGAGGTCCCGAGAGCTCTGGAGCAGGTTTTATCAAGGATCTCGCTGTACTTTCTTTGCTCCGTTCATCTTTCCCTCGATCCTGACTAGTCTCCCTGCTGCTGAAAACATCCCCACAGCATGATGCTGCCACAACCATGCTTCACCGTAGCGATGGTGCCAGGTTTCCTTATATAGACAGGTGTGAGCCTTTCTAAATCATGTCCAATCAATTGAATTTACCACAGGTGGACTCCACAGGTGGAAACAGGATGCACCTGTGTTCAATTTCGAGTCTCATACCAAAGGGTCTGATACCAAGATGGCGCCGGAGGAGATGGCTGCCGTTTTACGGCCCTCTAACCAATTGTGCTATTGTGTGTGTTTTCACGTTATTTGTAATTTATCCTGTACATTATGTTTCTGCCACCGTCTCCTATGACCAAAAAGATAGATTTTTCTTCAACGAGTCGGACGCAAAGGATATTCTACAGACACCCGACAAGGCCCAAATCCCAGTCATTCGCATGAGAAAGAGACAGAGATATCGTGGACGTAGGTCAGGGTGCCTTCTAAGGATCCGACGCAGAGCGAGTAAACTGCCTTGTCCATCAACCTATTAGCCAACGTACAATCATTTGAAAACAAAATGAACGACCGAAGATCAAGGTTATCCTACCAACGGGACATTAAAAACTGTAATATCTTATGTTTCACCGAGTCGTGGCTGAACGACGACATGGATAACATACAGCTGACGGGATATACGCTACATCGGCAGGATAGAACGGCTGACTCCGGTAAGACAAGGGGTGGCGGTCTGTGTATATTTGTAAACAACAGCTGGTGCATAAAATCTAATACTAAGGAAGTCTCTAGGTTTTGCTCGCCTGAGGTAGAGTATCTCATGATAAGCTGTAGACCACTATTTACCTAGAGAGTTTTCATCTATATTTTTCGTAGCTGTCGATTTACCACCACAAACCGATGCTGGCACTAAGATTGCACTCAATGAGCTGTATAAGGCCATAAGAAAACATGAAAACGCTCATCCAGAGGCAGCACTCCTAGTTGTCGGGGACTTTAATGCAGGGAAACTTAAATCCATTCGACCTAATTTCTACCAGCATGTTAAATGAGCAACCAGAGGAAAATAACTCTAGACCACCTTTACTCCACACTCAAGAGACGTGTACAAAGCTCTCCCTCACCCTCCATTTGGTAAATCTGACCATAATTCTATCCTCCTGATTCCTGTTTATAATAAAAAAACTAAAGCAGGAAGCACCAGTGACTCAGTTAATAAGGAAGTGGTCTGATGAAGCAAATGCTATGCTACAGGACTGATTTGCTAGCACAGACTGGAATATGTTCCGGTATTCTTCCGATGGCATTGAGGAGTACACCACATCAGTCACTGGCTTCATCAATAAGTGCATCGATGACGTCGTCCCCACAGTGACCGTACGTACATACCCCAACCAGAAGCCATGGATTACAGGCAACATCCGCACTGAGCTAAAGGGTAGAGCTGCCGCTTTCAAGGAGCGGGACTCTAACCCGGACGCTTATAAGAAATCCCGCTATGCCCTCCGACGAACCATCAAACAGGCAAGACTAAGATTGAATCATACTACACTGGCTCCGACGCTCGTCGGATGTGGCAGGGTTTGTAAACTATTACAGGCTACAAAGGGAAGCACAGCCGCGAGCTGCCCAGTGACACAAGCCTACCAGACGAGCTAAATGACTTCTATGCTCGCTTCGAGGCAAGCAACACTGAAGCATGCATGAGAGCATCAGCTGTTCCGGAGGACTATGTGATCACCCTCTCCGTAGCCGATGTGAGTAAGACTTTTTAGCAGGTCAACATTCACAAGGCCAGACCGATTACCAGGACGTGTACTCTGAGCATGCGCTGACCAACTGGCAAGTGTCTTCTCTGACATTTTCAACATGTCCCTGACTGTGTCTATAATCCCAACATGTTTCAAACAGACCACCATAGTCCCTGTGCCCAAGAACACTAAGATAACCTGCCTAAATGACTACCGACCCGTAGCACTCACGTCTGTAGCCATGAAGTGCTTTGAAAGGCTGGTCATGGCTCACATCAACACCATTATCCCAGAAACCCTAGACCCACTCCAATTTGCATACCGCCCCAACAGATCCGCAGATGATGCAATCTCTACTGCACTCCACACTGCCCTTTCCCACCTGGACAAGAGGAACACCTACGTGAGAATGCTATTCATTGACTACAGCTCAGCGTTCAACACCATAGTGCCCTCAAAGCTCATCACTAAGCAAAGGACCCTGGGACTAAACACCTCCCTCTACAACTGGATCCTGGACTTCCTGACGGGCCGCCCCCAGGTGGTAAGGGTAGGTAACAACACATCTGCCACGCTGATCCTCAACATGGGGGTCCCTCAGGGGTGCGTGCTCAGTCCTCTCCTGTACTCTCTGTTCACCCATGACTGCATGGCCAGGCACGACTCCAACACCATCAATAAGTTTGCAGACGACACAACAGAGGTAGGCCTGATCACCGACAACGATGAGACAGCCTATAGGGAGGAGGTCAGAGACCTGGCTGTGTGGTGCCAGGATAACAACCTCTCCCTCAATGTGATCAAGACAAAGGAGATGATTGTGGACTACAGGGAAAAAAAGAGGACTGAGCACGCCCTCATTTTCATCGACGGGGCTGTAGTGGAGCAGGTTGAGAACTTGAAGACAGTAGTGAAGAGGGCACGACAAAGCCTATTCCCCCCCTCAGGAGACTGAAAAGATATGGCATGGGTCCTCAGATCCTCAAAGTTCTACAGCTGCACCATCGAGAGCATCCTGACTGGTTGCATCACTGCCTGGTATGGCAACTGCTCGTCCTCCGACCGCAAGGCACTACAGAGGGTAGTGCGTACGGCCCAGTACATCACTGGTGCCAAACTTCTTGCCATCCAGGACCTCTAAACCAGGCGGTGTCAGAGGGAGGCCCTAAAAATTGTCAAAGACTCCAGCCACCCTATTCATAGACTGTTCTCTCTGCTACCGCATGGCAAGCGGTACCGGAGCGCCAAGTCTAGGTCCAAAAGGCTTCTTAACAGCATCTACCCCCCCCCCCAAGCCATAAGACTCCTGAACAGCTAATCATGGCTACCCAGACTATTTGCATTGTCCCCCCCAACCCACCCCATCCCCTCTTTTACGCTGCTGCTATTCTGTTTATTATCTATGCATAGTCACTTTAACTCTACCCACATGTACATATTACCTCAATTACCTTGACTATAATAATAATATGCCATTTACCAGTACGCTTTATAAGCTTACTGTTGCATTTTTTGTGTATGGTGGCTCGGATCGAACCCACTACTTTGCGTTACAAGCCCGTGCTCTACAGCTGACTACAGAAAAACCACTCCTAACCGTGGCCCCTGCACATTTACTTCTTACCGTTACCCCCGTATTAGCCTCATATTTGTTATTTTATTTTACTGTGCTCTTTAAGATTTGTTACTTTTTGGTTTGTTACTTAGTACTATTTATACTTAAAACCGTAAAAAAATAAAAAAACTTAGTGTTCAGGGCTTGTAAGTAAGCATTTCACTGTAAGGTCTGCACCTGTTGTATTCGGCGTATGTAGCAAATAAAATTTTATTTGAATACTTATGTAAATAAGGTATTTCTGTTTTCTAAAAACCTGTGTGCAAAGCTGTCATCAAGGCAAAGGGTGGCTACTTTGAAAAATCTAAAATATATTTTGATTTGTTTAACACTTTTTTTTGGTTACTACATGATTCCATATGTTATTTCATAGTTTTGATGTCTTCACTATTATTCTACAATGTAGAAAATAGTAAAAATAAAGAAAAACCCTTAAATGAGTAGGTGTGTCCAAACTTTTGACTGGTAGTGTATATACGAACCCCGCTCTGCTCCTCAAATGAAAACGTGTGGTGGGCAGGGTCGGCCCAGGCTGACCCCACCCACAGCCGATACCGCGGCGAGGGGTTTCTCTAGCGGTTAGAGTGTTGGGCCAGTAACCGAAAGGTCGCTAGTTCGACTCCCCGAGCCGACAAGGTGCAAAATCGGTCGATGTGCCCTTGAGCAAGGCAATTAACCCTAATTGCTCCACGGTCACCGTTGATAATTGCAGACCCTGGCCGTGACCCCACTCTCCGAAGGTGTCTCGGGAGTGGGATATGCAAAAAACACATTGTGAAATAGGACAAATGTAAGCACCTACCCAAATTATTAATATTATAAAGTCCATGGGTCCTGCTTTTTTCAAAGGCCTTCCTGTGTTCCATGAATGTACACAGTATCTACTTTCACAACCAGCGGCAAGACAACAGCAGAAATAATATTCTATTGCGTACGTTGTCAGAAACAGCAATTGTATTGGAATTCTTCCCATTGCTTACCATGGCAGTCTACCATTATATAATAATCAGAACTCTTTATGATGTTGTACATGGCACCGTTGTAATCATTGACCATCAAAACATCGGTGTAGACATCATCTTTTCTGTGTTTGGTTCAGGAGATATGACACAAAATACATGTTTTCGCTATGGTGGAATGGAAAATGGCCGGCAGGAGGTGTTTCTGCGATGGCTCCATATCTGAAAATGTTCAGGGCCCCAAACAGTACAAGTGTAGTAAGTTTCATGCTTTTATGAAAAAGTGAACATATCACCTAAAATTTGGTGCATATCTCCTGGACTAATATAAGATCTGGTTGTAGCGATATTGAAGGGTTCATATTCTTCCCATAGTAGGAAAGACGGTGTAGAAGATTTGCTGGTGAAAAGAGACAAAAGGTGCTTGATTTATGCACAATTATTACTAATGGAAACCATTGTATTTCCTCAGATGGTCTCTTATTCAAGTGTACTCTTAGCCATCAGTAAGGTGAGTTTGGGCTCCTCTTTCTGTCACTCTGGCCAATAACTGTCTGACTGCTACTAGACATGCATGCTTTCATCGGTTGACAACTCTCTGACATGCTCCTTTTTGTTTCCGAAGTTTGATGACTTCTCCAGAGAGCTCTGCGTCAAGTCCCTGTTGGAGATTATGGACATGTTCTGCCACCGTCTCAGGTACTGCACACTTGCTTTATCCCGTCCCACTCCAATCCTGTTATATTCTTCCTTCCTTTAAATTTGGCATTGGTGTTATCCCTTGAAAATGTTTCATCCTGGCTCTGCCGAGAAAGAGATGCAACCTGACAAAGATGACACACCTTATTTTTGATTCTTTTATTTATTAAATATGGTTGAAGCACTAATACAGTCGTATGAAAAAGTTTGTGCACCCCTGACAATTTCTATGATTTCCATTTATAAATAATTGGGTGTTTGGATCAGCAGTTTCATTTTGATCTATCAAATAACTGATGGACACAGTCATATTTCAGTAGTGAAATGAGGTTTATTGGATTAACAGAAAATGTGCAATATGCATCAAAACGAAATTAGACAGGTGCATAAATGTGGGCACCCCAACAGAAAAATCACATCAATATTTAGTAGAGCTTCTTTTGCTAAAATAACAGCCTCTAGATGCTTCCTATAGCCTCTAATGAGTGTCTGGATGAAGGTATTTTGGAACATTCGTCCTTACAAAACATCTCCACTTCAGTTAGGTTTGATGGTTGCCGAGCATGGACAGCCCGCTTCAAATCATCCCACAGATTCTCAATGATATTCAGGTCTGGGGACTGGGATGGCCATTCCAGAACATTGTACTTGTTCCTCTGCATAAATGCCCAGGTAGATTTTGAGCAGTGTTTTGGGTCGTTGTCTTGTTGAAATATCCAGCCCTGACGTAACTTCAACTTTGTGACTGATTCTTCAACATTATTCCCAAGAATCTGCTGATATTGAGTGGAATCCATGTGACCCTCAACTTTAACAAGATTCCCAGTACCGGCACTGGCCACACAGCCCCACAGCATGATAGAACCCCCACCAATTTTTACTGTGGGTAGCAAGTGTTCTTCTTGGAACGCTGTGTTCTTTTGCCGCCATGCATAACGCCCCTGGTTATGACCAAATAACTCAATCTTTGTTTCATCAATCCACAGCACCTTATTCCAAAATGAAGCTGGCTTGTCCAAATGTGCGTTTGCATACCTCAAGCGACTCTGTTTGTGGCGCATGTGCAGAAAAGGCTGCTTCCGCATCACTCTCCCGTACAGCTTCTCCTTGTGCAAAGTGCGCTGAATTGTTGAACGATGCACAGTGACACCATCTGCAGCAAGATGATGTTGTAGGTCTTTGGAGGTGGTCTGTGGGCTGTTTTTGACCGTTCTCACCATCCTTCGCCTTTACCTCCGATATTTTACTTGGCCTGCTACTTCTGGCCTTAACAAGAACTGTGCCTGTGGTCTTCCATTTCCTCACTATGTTCCTCACAGTGGACACTGACAGCTTACATCTCTGCGATAGCTTTTTGTAGCCTTCCCCTAAACCATAATGTTGAACAATCTTTGTTTTCAGGTCATTTGAGAGTTGTTTTGAGGCCCCCATGTTGCCACTCTTCAGAGGAGTGTCAAAGAGAACAACAACTTGCAATTGGCCACCTTAAATACCCTTTCTCATGATTGGATGTACTTGTCTATGAAGTTCAAGGCTTAATGAGCTCACCAAACCAATTGTGTGTTCCAATTAATCAGTGCTAAGTAGTTACAGGTATTCAAATCAACAGAATGACAAGGGTGCCCACATTTTTGCATAGCCTATTTTTCACATCTGATTTAATTTCATACAACTTAATATTGCTACACTAAAAATCTTTGTCTGGACAATACCCCAGTACTCAGCTTTTATTAGAAAATGAATGGCATGCCACTGTGATCATTTTCTGTGACGACAGAGTAAATTATTATGCAAGCCTCAGAGGGGTGCCCAAACCTTTTCATACGACTGTAGTTATGAGTCTGCTGGTTGAAGGATTATCTCAGAGCGTCAGAGAGTGAGTGCATTTCCGACATCAAGTCACCTTTCACATTGAAAAATAATACCCCAGAATAATCCCAAACATCAATTCTACCCCCATCCACCCTCCATCCCAGCTGCCACGGGAAGGCGGAGGAGTGCATCGGGCTGTGCCGGGCCTTGCTGGGCGTGGTAGTGTGGCTCCTGACGGGCTGCGCCTGCTACTGCGAGAGGCTCAGGGATCTGGGGCCGTCGGCCAGCACAGAAGCCAACCTGAGGGCCTGCCTGGAGAGGCTAAGGGATTTGGTGAACAGCACGAAGAACAGGGCCCTGGTCCACATCGCTCGCCTAGAGGACCAAGGTCAGTCAGGGGCTACGGAATCTTCTAAGAGGTTTTCCTATAACTACATGCAGTTGGCTGCATATTATTTTGATAAAACTGAAATCACAATATATTAATATTGTTGTAGCATTTGATTTGAATGAATTTCATTGGTATGTTTGACTCCACATCATATGATATGTTTCAAAAGCCTCCTGGACCAATGTGGAGCAAGCTTTGCTCACAGTGACAGAGGGGCTCAGCAGTCTGACCAATCAGACACTGAGAGGCAAGCTGGAGGAGTGTATTTCATTGGTGAAGAGGTGAGAATGTAGCACTTATGGGGTACAAGCTAATGGCCTTGGTAAATGGCAGTTTTTTTATTATCATCTGACCTATCTTCCCCCTTAGTATTCCTACGATGCTGTCCGAACAGTCAGATCCCCCGCACCACTCGTTGTTCCCCTCGGTCCACGCCTTCATCATGCTGGAAGGAACCATGAACCTGACAGGGGAGACCCAGCCACTGGTGGAGCAGCTGATGATGATCAAGAGGATGCAGGTGAGCCTTGTTTGGTCTAGAGTTAACGTATGTAAAGCATATGCGACTTTCACTTTGAGTTGAGGGAAATTGTAATTCCGTTTACTTCCTGAATTGACTGAATTGAAATGGAATATTGACCCCCAACCTTGGTGTGTTCCCCTGTGCAGCGTATCCCTGTGCCACTCTTTGTGTTGGAGATCTGGAAGGCGTGTTTCACTGGCCTCATTGAGTCACCAGAGGGCACTGAGGAGCTCAAGTGGACCGCCTTCACCTTCCTTAAGGTACTTCTCACAATGAATGCCGGATAATTACACTACATTCATGTTTTATTGTCCTTGGAGCAAGCATTTGAATGTGTTCTTTTCATTTGAGCCCATGAGATGTCACCATCTTACTGACGATCCTCTCATCTCTAGATCCCCCAGGTTCTCCTCAGACTAAAGAAGTATCCCCAGGGTGAGAAGGTACAGGTATAGTACTGAGTTATTCTCTCCTTACGTCCATAAAAATAAATTGTTATAATATCTGTTTTAAGTTTCTATACCAGTAATAAATACATTGGAAACATGAAAGGGATAATCAACGAGGGGCTATGCGTTCTGTGGAAAATAATAAACGACGACGCGTCAGCCGAGTGGAACTAACCATCCACGGAGTTGCGTGATTTTCCTGAGAACGCATAGAGCCCCGAGTTCATTATCCCTTTTATACCAAGGCTATAATTTAACACATTTGACACTAGAAATGTGTTCAACATTCACTGAAGTAGCTAGCAAGTTTACTAGATAGCTGCAATAGTTGCCTTGCTAACCAAACAGACTTGCTAGCTTGGTTAATCAAACCATCAGTCCTAGCTTGCTATTATGATAATTGAATTCAACAATGCCAGTAATGTTTTCAATTCGACTTTTGCTTTGAAAAGCAGCTCAAACATAGAACATGTAAGAATGAACTTCATAGCCATTGAATTCTACCGTGTATTATAGGGAAATAATGCACGGTCTAGAACAGGGGAGGTACTGCAGGGAGTCTAAATAAATGAAACAAACAAAAAACATTATTGAATACAGGGCTGCCAACTTTTGAATGTCATTGGCTCCACCCCTAGCTGGGGGGTATGGGCATCCCGTCCCAGGAAAAATAATCCGTTTTAAAGCCAATTTCCTGCAATTCATATTTTCACATGGCCTAGGCCCAGGGTGGAATAAAATGTTTTAAAAATCACAGGTCAAGTGTACAGTTGTGGTCGAAAGTTTTGAGAATGACACAAGTATTGGTCTTCACAAAGTTTGCTGCTTCAGTGTTATGAGATATTTTTGTCAGATGTTACTATGGTATACTGAAGTATAATTACAAGGATTCCATAAGTGTCAAAGGCTTTTCTTGACAATTACATTAAGTTTATGCAAAGAGTCAATATTTGCAGTGTTCCTTCTTTTTCAAGACCTCTGCAATCTGCCCTGGCATGCTGTCAATTAACTTCTGGGCCACATCCTGACTGATGGCAGCCCATTCTTGCATAATCAATGCTTGGAGTTTGCCAGAATTTGTGGGTTTTTGTTTGTCCACCCGCCTCTTGAGGATCGACCACAAGTTCTCAATGGGATTAAGGTCTGGGGAGTTTCCTGGCCATGGACCCAGAATTTTGATGTTTTGTTCCCCGAGCCACTTAGTTATCACTTTTGCCTTATGGAAAGGTGCTCCATCATGCTGGAAAAGGCACTGGTCGTCACCAAACTGTTCTTGAATGGTTGGGAGAAGTTGCTCTCGGAGGATGTGGTGGGACCATTATTTATTCATGGCTGTGTTCTTAGGAGAAATTGTGAGTGAGCCCACTCCCTTGGCTGAGAAGCAACCCCACACATGAATGGTCTCAGGATGCTTTACTGTTGGCATGACACAGGACTGATGGTGTGCTCACCTTGTCTTCTCCGGACAAGCTGTTTTCCGATGCCCCAAACAATCGGGAAGGGGATTCATCAGAGAAAATGACTTTACCCCAGTCCTCAGCAGTCCAATCCCTGTACCTTTTGCAGAAAATCAGTCTGTCCCTGATGTTTTTCCTGGGGAGAAGTGGCTTCTTTGCTGCCCTTCTTGACACCAGGCCGTATTTGCCTCACTGTGCGTGCACTCACACCTGCCTGCTGCCATTCCTGAGCAAGCTCTGCACTGGTGGTGCCCCGATCCCGCAGCTGAATCAACTTTAGGAGATGGTCCTGGCACTTGCTGGACTTTCTTGGGCGCCCTGACGCCTTCTTCACAACAATTGAACCTCTCTCCTTGAAGTTCTTGATGATCCGATAAATGGTTGATTTAGGTGCAATCTTACTAGCAGCAATATCCTTGCCTGTGAAGCCCTTTTTGTGCAAAGCAATGATGACAGTTCCTTGCAGGTAACATTTACATTTACATTTTAGTCATTTAGCAGACACTCTTATCCAGAGCGACTTACAAGAGCAATTAGGGTTAAGTGCCTTGCTCAAGGGCACATCGACAGATTTTTCACCTAGTCGGCTCGGGGATTAGAACCAGCGACCTTTCGGTTACTGGCACAATGCTCTTAACCACTAAGCTACCTGCCGTAATCATGGTTAACAGAGGAAGCACCACCCTCCTTTTTAAAGCTTCCAGTCTGTTATTCTAACTCAATCAGCATGACAGAGTGATCTCCAGCCTTGTCTACGTCAACACTCACCTGTGTTAATGAGAGAATCACTGACATGATGGCAGCTGGTCCTTTTGTGGCAGGGCTGAAATGCAGTGGAAATGTTTTTTGGGGGATTAAGTTAATTTTCATGGCAAAGAGGGACTTTGCAATTAATTGCAATTCATCTAATCACTCTTCATGACATTCTGGAGTATATGCAAATTGCCATCATCAAAACTGAGGCTACACTCATTAAAGAAAGCTAGTGATTTCAAAACGATTTGGAGGCACAGTTGAAAAGTTAAAGCACTGAATATTAATCAGAAAATAAAAGCAGCAGGCCTACTTTTTCCAATGCGTTAAAAATAAGAGGTGTGGCGTGTGACCGTGTAAAGAGGGTCCAATGCGTGTCTCACGCCCAATGCGTGAAAGTTAGCATCACTGTTGAATATTACTAACAACACATTAAACTACTTTTGGCCAAGGGATCCGTGGGATAGGTTTAAAGTGTGTAATACAATACAACACAATGTCATATTATTAATCTACAATTGATGTTCTTAGTCCTGGCAAACATTGGCCTGGGAAGCTCACATTGATATTGGTATCCGCAGTACTTCACTAATGATCCATTTGTGAATTCAATACTTTTATATTTTAAATTTTTTACATAATTGCACTGTAATTTAAACTTTAAAACTGCAAAGTTTTCTCTCTGCCTCGTGGCAAGATGTGAAGAATTGCAGGATATTAGCTTGAAAACGGCAACATTTTCTCTTCGTTGCCAAGAGATGGGCCTTTAAAATGTTACTTCCCAGGGGCAAAACTTGTTTTTATGGCCATGCACTGCTGAAGTCATAGTAAAACTCCTATTTTTATCTCACTCAAGTTTTGTTCTGATTATGAAGGGGTCGCTGATGAATTTGCTATCACAAAAGTGGTCCCCGGCCCCCAACATTTTGAGAACCTTTGCTCTAGAATGCCCTTCCAGCCAATCAGAAACTAGTATTCAAAAATACCATGATATAATACTCAATATTTATTACCACTGAGTGATATGAATGTAGGATAGTGAAGAGTGCTGGTCTCTCTGTCTTGACATGCATTATGGTCAATCTGCAGCAGGACTTCATGGATGACGTGAACATTGCCTTTGAGTACTTGCTGAAGCTCACACCACTGCTGGACAAGGCTGACCAGAGATGCAAGTGAGTGATACTGGAAAAGAGAACAGAGGAAGCATATTATCATGTTATAAGCATGTTTATAACACTCTGACAGGTTATAGAGTGTCTGACAAGCTTTTCACTCCATGTCTGTTTTTTTTACAGCTGCGACTGTCTAAGTATGCTACTGCAGGAGTGCAATAAGCTGGGTCTCCTGTCGGACTCCAACACGACCAACCTCACTTCTAAACGGTACGGGTAGCCATCCTGCCCCTTCAGATGTGTAACATCACTGGAAGAGAATGATACAGTATAAAATACATCAAGTTTGGAGCTAATATCTGTCATTCTGTCTCCTCTCACTCTTTCCTATCACTACATTACTCTTTCTCTCTTCGCCTGCCTGTCTGTCAGTGTTTCGCTCTCTCCCTCTGTCTCTCTTCTTCTCTCCCTGTTTCTCCCTTTCTTTCTCTATCTGCAACCTTTTCTTTGAGGGCTGAGGAACAGGGAGTACGCTCCACGGCTAAAGACTGCAGAAAACGCCAACATCCAGCCCAACCCAGGCCTCATCCTGCGAGCCGAGCCCACTGTCACCAACATCCTCAAGGTCCTCTTTCTCCCCATTCCAACCCTACTTAACCTTACACAGCTTTACAGTCAGCAGGGTCATGTTGTTCAATAGGCATGAAACGGGGAGGTTCTATTTGAACTAGTCTAATAGAAACGCTTGTTGTCATTTTCCATTGGAAAATGTTTCGCTACGGTGTGCCCTAATGAACGCGACGCTGACTTTGACCCTCTACTATAGCCCTGAATAAGTACGGATGTTAGGACCGTTAGTTCACCTCATAATAAAGCTCTCCCAGAGCTCCAACTTTTGCTGAACGTCTTCCAAGTCACCCATATCACACTCTCATTACTGTTTTCTATGTCTGTCTTCTCCTGTTGTGTTAGACGGTGGACGCAGACCACTCCAAGTCTCCAGAGGGCCTGCTGGGGGTGCTGGGACACATGCTGTCTGGGAAGAGCCTGGACCTCCTACTGGCTGCAGCCGCAGCCACGGGAAAACTAAAATCCTTCGCCCGGAAGTTCATCAAGTGAGACACACATCAAGCCACTAAAAGTCAATCAGGACTGTTCAATACAATTTATTGACAGACTCAAACCATATTACTGTGGAGAGAATTTTAAAGGGCAAAATGGGAAAATCTACATGATGTAAGAGGGACACAATGTTTAATGGAGATGATTTATTGATGCTCTGTCTTTGCTTCTCAGGCTGAATGAGTTTCCGAAGCACATCAGTGGAGAAGGATGTGAGTACATGAGTGTTGCTGAGTATGGGACTTTTTGAATAACATTAACGTTAGGGACTTGCTGGGTGTGGGAGTTTTTGAAACAGATTTGATATTGACATTGGGGACTATTTGTTCTACCTCGTTGTAGCCAAGTCTGCCTCGGTGCGAGCCCTGCTGTTCGACATATCCTTCCTCATGTTGTGTCACGTGGTGCAGACCTACGGATCAGAGGTTGGTCTCACACCTAGTACTAATGCTATCTATGTAAGTATTCTAGGTCCGTATTCAGAAAGTGTCTCAGAGCAGGAGAGCTGAACTAGGGTCAGGTCCCCCTTGTCAGGTCCCCCCTTGCACTTCTCCTGTAGATTTTGCATCATTGTCCTGCTCTTTCAGCACAACTCCACTAGGTGGCCAAACACCCAATAGCTTTCTGCTTGTGCTATCTGACTGGCACAGCTGCAATGTCTTTGCAACATTCATATGATGTTACATAAGCTTAATGGTCAGAACCTGGCCCTCATATAAATTGATATAATATTTCCCACTCCATATTATTATATGATATGAATCTATGTTGTGACCCATCCAGGTGATCCTGTCGGATCCCAGCCCCTCAGGGGAGACCCCGTTCTTTGAGACGTGGCTGCAGACCTGCATGCCAGAAGAGGGCAAGACCCTGAACCCAGACCACCCCTGCTTCAGGCCTGAGTCTGGCAAGGTGGAGAGCCTGGTGGCCCTCCTCAACAACTCCTCTGAGATGAAGCTAGTGTGAGTGATGGGTTCTATCTTTGACTCTAGGGTCAGAATCGGAGTGGAATTCAGTGTTTCTCAGCTGCTGAGTTAAAAAACAAAACAAAGGAAGAAGTCCAGGCTATGGTTGAAATGTTGTCCGCCATGTTCAAATGTATTTTTTGAGGAGCATAATTTAAACCAGTGGGGAAAAAACATTATTTAAACTGGAGTCCTTTCTGCACCATCTCTTTTCTTTCCTTAAATCAATTTATTGGCATGACTCATTATTTTCCTGAAGCTATACCGATTGTTATCTACTGCTGTGTGTCAGTCAGATGAAGTGGCACGAGATCTGCCTCAGCACGCCGGCGGCCATCTTGGAGGTGTTGAACGCCTGGGAGAACGGCGTGCTGTCTGTGGAGGCCGTGCAGGTGAGTCCAGTATTATGTGTCACAGTCTATTTTGTCCTACTTTGCGCTCAATACGACGTAGTCAGTGAACCGTTGAATCAAAGAAGTCAACTTGCTCTTGCCATAGTGGAAAATGAGTGGTCATAGCGTGTAGGTCTAAATGACACTGCTGACATAATGGTTAGAGGTTGCGTGTATTACATTTTTATTATCTTCCTCATTTAAACCATTCATAAAGTTAATTCATTTGTCGTACATGTGCAGAGTTCACACACTCGTCTTCCCCTCTTCTCCTTCCCCCCCCCCCCCCCCCCCCCCCCCCCCCCCGAGGGTAGAAGATAACAGACAACATCAAGGGCAAGGTATGCAGCATGGCTATCTGTGCTGTGGCCTGGCTGGTAGCCCATGTGAGGATGCTGGGGCTGGATGAGAGGGAGAAGCCCCAGACCATGATCCGCCAGCTCATGACCCCGCTGTACGGGGAGAACACTCTGCAGTTCTACAATGAACGGTACACACACTAGACCTGGGTTAAAATACAGTGCCTTCGGAAAGGATTCAGACCCATTGACTTTTTCCACATTTTGTTATGTTACAGCCTTATTCTAAAATAGATTAAATAAATAAAAATCCTCAGCAATCTACACACAATACCCCATAATGACAAAGTGAAAACAGGTTTTTAGAAATTTTTGCAGATGTATAAATACAATAAAACGGTAATACCTTATTTACATAAGTGTTCATACCCGTTGCTATGAGAGTCGAAATTGAGCTCAGGTGCATCCTGTTTCCATTGTTCATCCCTGAGATGTTTCTACAACTTGATTGGAGTCCACCTGTGGTAAATAAAATTGATTGGACATGATTTGGAAAGGCACACACCTGTGTATATATATGGTCCCACAGTTGAAAGTGCATGTCAGAGCAAAAAGCAAGCCATGAGGTCGAAGGAATTGTCCGTAGAGCTCTGAGACAGGATTGTGTCGAGGCACAGTTCTGGGGAAGGGTACCAAAACATTTCTGCAGCATTGAAGGTCCCCAAGAACACAGTCACCTCCATCATTCTTAAATGGAAGAAGTTTGGAAGCACCAAGACTCTTCCTAGAGCTGGCCTCCCGGCCAAACTGCGCAATCGGGGGTGAAGGGCCTTGGTCAGGGAGGTGACCAAGAACCCAATGGTCACTCTGACAGAGCTCTAGAGTTCCTCTGTGGAAATGGGAAAACCTTCCAGAAGGACAACCATCTCTGCAACACTCCACCAATCAGGCCTTTATGGTAGAGTAGCCAGACGGAAGCCACTCCTCAGTAAAAGGCACATGACAGCCCGCTTGAAATTTGCCAAAAGGCACCTAAAGACTCTCAGACCATGAGAAACAAGATTCTCTGGTCTGATGAAACCAAGATTGAACTCTTTGGCTTGAATGCCAAGCGTCACATCTGGAGGAAACCTGGCACCATCCCTACGGTGACGCATGGTGGTGTACAGAGAGATCCTTGATGAAAACATGCTCCAGAGCTCTCAGGACCTCACACTGGGGTGAAGGTTCACCTTCCAACAGGACAATGACCCTAAACACACAGCCAAGACAACGTTGGAGTGGCTTCGGGACAAGTCTCTGAATGTCCTTGAGTGGCCCAGCCAGAGCCTGCCTGGACTTGAACCCGATTGAACATCTCTGGAGAGACCTGAAAATAGCTGTGCAGCGACGCTCCCCATCCAACCTGACAGAGCTTGAGAGGATCTGCAGAGAAGAATGGGAGAAACTCTCCTAATACAGGTGTGCCAAGCTTGTAGCGTCATACCCAAGAAGACTTGATGCTGTAATCGCTGCCAAAGGTGCTTCAACAAAGTACTGAGTAAAGGGTCTGAATACCTATGTAAATGTGATATGTAAGTTCTTTATTTTTAATAAATGAGCAAACATTTATCAAATTGTTTTCTTTGTCATTATGGGGTATTGTGTGTAGATTGATGAGGGGGAAAAAAACAATTTAATCAATTTTAGAATAAGGCTGTAACGTAACAAAATGTGGAAAAAGTCAAGGGGTCTGAATACTTTATTTGTTATTTAAATACTTATTTTCTGTGTATTAGTATTTTCTTATGTGCCCCGAATCAACTACTTCTATTGGAAGTATTTTCAAATAATTACCTATACATTTTCAAATACTTATTTCAAATACAAATACTATTTTCAAAAACCTCGGTTAAATGTATGGGAGTGTATTTTCAAATGCATGCCAATACTTTCCAAGTGCATTTCCAAATGCATTCCAATATTCAACTACTTGTCTTTTTAAATATAACATATCTGAATACTTACTTCGAAAAGTATGTGAAAGTAATTGATATATTTGAAATAGTATTTGAACCAAGGTCTGACACACATACAGCTCGCTCTACACATGCACTGCCGCTGGACAATGTTTTTCAACAACCAAAGCATTAGCCTGATTGTTTAGCCTTAGTGTTCAAACCGCTTCACATCGTAACCAGGCAACTCGCATAATTCACCACCAGTGTATAGCAACCAGACTGAAAATCACATGAGCACAAGACTCATTAACCCTTCATCTCTCCCTCCCTCCCCAGGGTGGTGATCATGAGTTCCATCCTGGAGAACATGTGTGCTGACGTGTTCCAGCAGACAGGCCTGGCACTGCGGCCGCCCATGGAGGGCCAGGAGCCCATCCCCTACCGCAACCTGCTCTCGGCCAAGGAGCCCATCCACGAAGCCCTCCGCAAGCAATTCCGTTCGGTGCTGTGGAAGGGCTGGGTGGACAGTGGCGCACTACACCTCTTTGAGAGCCTGCTGCACACAGGAGGGGTGTTCTGGTTCACCAACAACCTGGTCAAGGTTAGTGAATGTTATGAGAGGGGGCGGGGGCGGTTGGCCTATACGGCAGTGGAGTTACTGTACTTTGGTATTTTGGAAACCTTGCAAGGTGACAATGGGCTACGATTTCTTTTGATGTGTTTTCACGCCTACAAGATTTTCATCAAAGATGTAGCACTAGTTAAACATGTTTATGCTGAATGTCTTTTAGCACAATATGGATTATACACCTTATTTTCTACTTTTAGACAAAAGTAGAAAATAATTCCCTGGTAATCAAATAGCCTATTAGCAAGCAAAGCTAAACTAGTTTTGACTAATGTTATTATTATTATTATAATATTATTAATGCGGATGCACTTAATTTACAAATCAAATGGAAAGAAGTGAAGTCATTTCTGTCCTCCATAACTCAATAAAGATGGCATGGCACACCTACAGTGGCTTGCGAAAGTATTCACCCCCCCTTGGCATTTTTCCTATTTTGTTGCCTTACAACCTGGAATTAAAATTTATTTTTGGGGGTTTGTATCATTTGATTTACACAACATGGCTACCACTTTGAAGATGCAAAATATTTTTTGGGGTGAAACAAACAAGAATTAATACAAAAAAACAGAACTTGAGCGTGCATAACTATTCACCCCCCCCAAGTCAATACTTTGTAGAGCCAACTTTTGCAGCTGCAAGTCTCTTGGGGTATGTCTCTATAAGCTTGGCACATCTAGCGACTGGGATTTTTGCCCATTCTTCAAGGCAAAACTGCTCCAGCTCCTTCAAGTTGGATGGGTTCCGCTGGTGTTCAGCAATTCTTTTTGCGCCAGACATAGCGTTTTCCTTGATGGCCAAAAAGTTCAATTTTAGTCTCATCTGACCAGAGTACCTTCTTCCATATGTTTGTGGAGTCTCCCACATGCCTTTTGGCAAACACCAATCGTGTTTGCTTATTTCTTTCTTTAAGCAATGGCTTTTTTCTGCCCACTCTTCTGTAAAGCCCAGCTCTGTGAAGTGTACGGCTTAAAGTGGTCCTATGGACAGATACTCCAATCTCTGCTGTGGAGCTTTGCAGCTCCTTCAGGGTTATCATTGGTATCTTTGTTGCCTCTGATTAATGCCCTCCTTGCCTGGTCCGTGAGTTTTGGTGGGTGGCCTTCTCTTGGCATGTTTGTTGTGGTGCCATATTCTTTCAATTTTTTATAATGGATTTAATGGTGCTCCGTGGGATGTTCAAAGTTTCGGATATTTTTTTATAACCCAACCCTGATCTGTACTTCTCCACAACTTTGTCCCTGACCTGTTTGGTAGAGCTCCTTGGTCTTCATGGTGCCGCTTGCTTGGTGGTACCCCTTGCTTAGTGGTGTTGCAGACTCTGGGGCCTTTCAGAACAGGTGTATATATGCTGAGATCATGTGACACTTTATTTAACTAAATATGTGACTTCTGAAGGTAATTGGTTGCACCAAATCTTACTTAGGGGCTTCATAGCAAAGGGGGTGAAAACATACAGTGGGGAGAACAAGTATTTTATACACTGCCGATTTTGCAGGTTTTCCTACTTACAAAGCATGTAGACGTCTGTAATTTTTATCATAGGTACACTTCAACTGTGAGAGACGGAATCTAAAACAAAAATCCAGTAAATCACATTGTATGATTTTTAAGTAATTAATTTGCATTTTATTGCATGACATAAGTATTTGATACATCAGAAAAGCAGAACTTAATATTTGGTACAGAAACCTTTGTTTGCAATTACAGAGATCATACGTTTCCTGTAGGTCTTGACCAGGTTTGCACACACTGCAGCAGGGATTTTGGCCCACTCCTCCATACAGACCTTCTCCAGATCCTTAAGGTTTCGGGGCTGTCGCTGGGCAATACGGACTTTCAGCTCTCTCCAAAGATTTTCTGTTGGGTTCAGGTCTGGAAACTGGCTAGGCCACTCCAGGACCTTGAGATGCTTCTTACGGAGCCACTCCTTAGTTGCCCTGGCTGTGTGTTTCGGGTCGTTGTCATGCTGGAAGACCCAGCCACGACCCATCTTCAATGCTCTTACTGAGGGTAGGAGGTTGTTGGCCAAGATCTCGCGATACATGGCCCCATCCATCCTCCCCTCAATACGGTGCAGTCGTCCTGTCCCCTTTGCAGAAAAGCATCCCCAAAGAATGATGTTTCCACCTCCATGCTTCACGGTTGGGATGGTGTTCTTGGGGTTGTACTCGTCCTTCTTCTTCCTCCAAACACGGCGAGTGGAGTTTAGACCAAAAAGCTATTTTTGTCTCATCAGACCACATTACCTTCTCCCATTCCTCCTCTGGATCATCTAGATGGTCATTGGCAAACTTCAGACGGGCCTGGACATGCGCTGGCTTGAGCAGGGAGACCTTGCGTGCGCTGCAGGAATTTTATCCATGATGGCGTAGTTTTTTACTAATGGTTTTCTTTGAGACTGTGGTCCCAGCTCTCTTCAGGTCATTGACCAGGTCCTGCCGTGTAGTTCTGGGCTGATCCCTCACCTTCCTCATGATCATTGATGCCCCACAAGGTGAGATCTTGCATGGAGCCCCAGACCAAGGTTGATTGACCGTCGTCTTGAACTTCTTCCATTTTCTAATAATTGCGCCAACAGTTGTTGCCTTCTCACCAAGCTGCTTGCCTATTGGCCTGTAGCCCATCCCAGCCTTGTGCAGGTCTACAATTTTATCCCTGATGTCCTTACACAGCTCTCTGGTCTTGGCCATTGTGGAGAGGTTGGAGTCTGTTTGATTGAGTGTGTGGACAGGTGTCTTTTATACAGGTAACGAGTTCAAACAGGTGCAGTTAATACAGGTAATGAGTGGAGAACAGGAGGGCTTCTTAAAGAAAAACTAACAGATCTGTGAGACCCGGAATTCTTACTGGTTGGTAGGTGATCAAATACTTATGTCATGCAATAAAATGCAAATTAATTACTTAAAAATCATACAATGTGATTTTCTGGATTTTTGTTTTAGATTCCACCTCTCACAGTTGAAGTGTACCTATGATAAAAATTACAGACCTCTACATGCTTTGTGGACCTGCATTATTTCTTCCAGCTGTTTGCTGACCTGAAAAACGAGAGCCAGAAAGAAGATGAGGAGCCGCTTACTCATCTTCTTTCAAGTAGGAAAACCTGCAAAATCGGCAGTGTATCAAATACTTGTTCTCCCAACTGTATGCACGCACCACTTTTCCGTTATTTATTTTTTAGAATTTTTTGAAAAAATTAATTTTTTTAATTTCACTTCACCAATTTGGACTATTTTGTGTATGTCCATTACATGAAATCCAAATAAAAATCAATTTAAATTACAGGTTGTAATGCAACAAAATTGAAAAAACGCCAAAGGGGATGAATACTTTTGCAAGGCACTGTACATTAAGTTATTAAGTATACTTTTTTAAATGTAACTAAGAAAAATCCCTTCGCTTTATGTTTTCAAAGAGTAAAACATCCATTTATTATTAAATGAAAATAAAATAGATATTTCTGAACATGTAGTGTGACCATCAAATGTTGTGTCTTAGGTCGTATCTCCTGTATTGTATGCACTGCAGCAGAAATGTCCTCTACTCTCCTTGCAGTAGTGGGACAGGGGTGTTCACTTCAGTCTATAGAGTAGGCTTGGTTGTTATCCAGACTTTCATATACCTGGATTTAGCGGCATAGCACAAAGGCCCTCTATTACCAGAATGCTAACAACATTAGCACAAGCTAATAACGAAATCACATAGATGCTGTTAGCTAAATGCTAACATGCAAAAACAAACTTAATTGCTAAGACCAGGCAAATCCAGCTCATAAAGTTATACAAGCATAGATTGTAGCTACCCAATGTCATTTTCTGTGATTGTGGACAGTTATAAACAAAAGTGAATGAGAGAAATTGTGCAAATGAACAAAGTTGTAATGCATGCTTTTCTGAAGGAAGATCAGCGTGTGTACACAGAGCAGATGGGAGTAGAACAGAAGAAAAAAACGCTAGTAGGAAACACAGGAAAAAAATGGCAGATATCTGATGGCAAACATTTAGTACTTAATTGCATACAAGTGTAACTTCATCACCTTATGTGCGCCGCACAGCGTTGATAGATATAGAAGGCTATGGACTCTCAAACTCGCTTTCTCCCTTTGCTATTTACAAAGAAACATGTGACTGGCTCAACTGTTCTAGGGAACTACGGTAAGTTTCATAATTTAAACTAATGTGACAGGTGAAATGAAGTACGCAATCTGCTTAACTTCTAAGGTATTGCACAAGTTGACTGCAGGTAATAACTTAAAGTAACTACAAGTATTACAATTTATTGATGGTATTTACAGTATTGAAAAACTATCCCGTGGCTTTTTCCAAATATCCTGGTATACGATATACCGCCCAAGCCTACTATAGAGCCTGGCCCCTCTCCCCTGGGCCCCTCACCGGTCCAGACCGATGAGTAAGCGCCTCCTCATCTTTTTCTGGCTCTCGTTCTTCAGGTCAGCAAACAGCTGGAAGAAATAATGCAGGTCCATGTTCATCTGGAGCATGTTGGCTCTCATTAGGTTGATGATGGACAGGCAGCGCTCCCAGAAGATCTCCCTGGAGCTCTCCACCAGGAAGGGTCTCAGTGGGTAGGAGGTCTCGTTGCCCATGTAGGAGCAGGTCAGGTAGAGGCAGGTGATCACCACAGCCTGCAGCTGGTGCTCGGTGGCTGCCTCGGAGGAGACCACCTTGCGGCACAGCATGTAGACAAACACCACGTTGGCTGGGCTGAGGATGTTCTGATTCCCCCAATCGTGGTCGAGCAGGAAGCGTTCCACGCTCTGCAGCCACAGCCCTAGGTCGTTGGGGACAGGTTCAGTAGCCGGTAGCAGTGACGACACAGGAACTCACCAAGGAAGCGCAGCAGCTCGCTGGTGGAGTATGGAGGGTATAAGGTGTGTATCAATCCATTCCTCATTCCTAATTTCTATGTGTGACTCAGGAGCTGCTGAAGGAGACTCGCCAGGAGTGGGCCAACCGGGTGGTGGAGCTGCTCTACAGCATCTTCTGCCTGGACACCCAGCAGATCACTCTCACCCTGCTGGGCCACATCCTGCCCAACCTGCTCACAGACTCGGCCCACTGGCACAGCCTGGCAGACCCGCCCGGCAAGGCCTTGGCTAAGTAAGACTGAGTCCTCCTAGTGTATGCTCTCGGGTTCTCAGTGACAATGTTATGTCTTTCCCATGTGCTAGCTAGCTAAATCATAGGGACTGTATATTGCTAGCTACCTGGCTTAATAGGTGACTGTAGGGGCCAGTTTCCAGAACACAGATTAGGCCTAGTCCTGAAAAGGGCAGTGAGTCAGTGGTTCCTGCGCCACATGCAATTTGCTTTGTAGTTGTTGAAAGACTGTTTTGATATTTCTATATGATCAATCCATAAATAATCTAGACCTACATTCAACAGTATCTCTTGTGCTTTTGACACTGATTTCACATGTCTATTTCACATGATATGCCTATATACTTATAACCACTAGGCTAATATATAATCACATTTTTCTTTCTATTATTTAATTAACCTACAGTGAGGGAAAAACGTATTTGATCCCCTGCTGATTTTGTACATTTGCCCACTGACAAAGAAATGATCAGTCTATAATTTTAATGGTAGGTTTATTTGAACAGTGAGAGACAGTTGGTGGTGTATATTAACTAATATACAGTACATGGGTTCTAACTTGAAGTATTTGTTAGTTTACAATTGTACAATTTATGCTCCCCGCATATAAAAACCACGAAGACTGCCGGAAAGCCCCGAACGCAAGATTGTAATATCTTTGACTCACACGGTGGAGGAACATATTGCCTGTAGCCTACTTTTTAGTATGGAAAACGGCTGTGAGGATTTTTGTACAATATTCACAACATATTGACATAACTATAGAATACAAATCTAATTTAATCAATTACTTGTGGAAATACGTATTTGAGTGACCATTAGAAAGCCAGCAGCAGATGAAACAAAGTAAATTCTCTCCTCTCCCTCTCCCCGGTTTTAGCTTGTGGTTATCACCATCTAGCTGGCTAGGTTTAGGATATTTACTAGCCCATACCAGTAACAAACTTAGCTATGTTATCGACATATGGCAGTACACAAACAAAATCAAGCTCACTTACTTTGCCAGCTAGAAAGAAATAGCCATAAATTCATTCAGAAATGGAGGAAGAGGATAGCTAACTATAGCAATTCGCCCACCTCATTCTCACGAATTTATCCCACTTTTTACAAAGTTTTTAATTTGTGTGACGCTGTCGGCGGGGTGTTATGGGATTGTTTCCGAAGTTAGAGCTGATTTTGGAGAACCTCAAACCCAACTTTTAGAACAACATGATATAACAATTGATTGTCATTTGAGAATGTTTTCTTGGGGTGCTCTAAGTTACTATTATATGCGTTTCTGGCATTGAGAAATAGGTGCTATACTCCCTTTAAGTCCTTACTGTGATTTGTTTTAATTAAAGATGGTCAATAAGAAACAAAAATAGCTTCTTAGCAAAGAGCAATTTCTCAAGCAAGAATTTAGCTAGGACTGTCTGGGAGTGGTCTGAGTGGGGAGGGGAAAACTGAAACTAGCTGTTATTGGCAGAGAGGTTTGGAACTCTCTTTCTTATTGGTTTATTAACTAATTTACCGCCTGGTGATGTCTCCAGGCAGGCCAAAACTCCATCCCACCAAAACAGGCAAAAATGTCAGGCGGCCTTTTCAAACAGCTCTTAAACTAAAAGGGCATTATCCTGATTTTCACAGTATTATTCCAACCTCATATTATGGAAATATATAGAAAACATAGGAAAATCATGTTTTTGACTGAATTAATACCTACTGAGCTGGGAGTTTTTTGTTATTGTCTTAAAACAGGTTTTAACAGTATTCCTAGGACCTTTTCTGAGACGCTTTGTGGATACTTCTCCAGGACTAGGCTTCATCTTTGCCTTGGAAGCTGGCCCTAGTTATACATCTTCCCTGTACAGTATATATGTAATGAATTACTGAATAAATAGGTTTTTCCTGAATCTTATTTTAACAAATGTATTCCTCTTCTCTGCATCTTTACAGTTTTGGTTTTGGCTGTGTTCCATTGTTGATGTCCAGTTGAGAGTCTTGTCCTCTTGTTCTCCAGGCTGTCTGTATGGTGTGCTCTCAGCTCCTTCTCCACTCACCACAAAGGCCAGGCCTCAGCTCGACAACGCAAGAGGCAGCGGGAGGATATAGAGGTAACAACACAGACAAACAAATCCATTTATTTAAAGTGCATTTAATAAAGTCACAACACACTATATTGTCATGTTTCCCCAGTGCTATGGGTAATGTAGTCTAACATGCCTCTCGTTAACCCCAGGACTACAGTAGCTTGTTCCCTCTGGACGACACGCAGCCCTCCAAGCTCATGCGTCTGCTCAGCTCCAACGAGGACGAGCCGGTGGTCCTCTCTAGTCCAGGTCAGTTTGCTGTTCTCTGGTGTCAAAGAAAGTACATCAGCGGAAGGTTCAGTGAGCAAACCTTTTGAATGTTGCAAATAAAACATTTATGAATAGAGCTGATATGGTTCCTTATTCTACATGTCAGAGAGGCATGTTTGTTCCCAGCATCATATATTTCTATCTGAAATGTTCCACAACTTTATGCCTGCTGAATGCAGCCCTGCATACATATAAAGATAATAGGTGATGGTATTATTGTTATATTCTGCTCAATGCAGGAGAGCGCAAGTTTCAAAAGTCTCTTTGTGACGTTGTGAATATACTGTGTCTTTTCATGTGACATCCCCATTTAATTAGGGGATGAATGCCTTCAACCAGATTCCATGAAGGTTTTTAAGACAGAGTAAGGTTATGAACCCCCGTCAAAAGCAAGTAGACAAGTTCTCTCAACCAAATGACAGGCGTACGCAAATGAGCTTGCGTCTGAGCCTTCCAAGCGTTGTAAGACTTTTGTAAAATACTGTCTTCGGAACCTCACTTTGTCAGCAAGTTGACTGTTGCACGGCTCATGGTTCATCAAAGCTTTTGTTATTTTGTAATAATTCAGTGCTCAACAATAACAACCGTCTTCATGTCGAAAGAAAAAGGGTGACTTTTTTCCCCTGATGTCACTAGGGTGATTATGACATTAGTAAAAACACCACTAGTGTAAGCGTAATTAAACTAATTAGTGTCAGGTAGAAACCCAATGTGCAAAAAGGGGGTGTAGCGGGACATTTTGGGCAAACACACACTTTAAGAGTAGTGGAGGGAAAAAAGTAATTTAGAAACTTGTCTTGACTTGAAATAGGAGGGAGTGTCCTTAAAGACTCACTCCAGTGATAAGCATTTCACCAGTCCTTTTTATGGGAATGGCGCCGGAGGAGATGGCTGCCGTTTTGCGGGCTCCTAACCAATTGTGCAATTGTGTGTGTGTGTGTGTGTTTTCGCATTATTTGTAACTTATTTTGTACATAATGTTTCTGCCGCCGTCTCTTTATGACCGAAAAGAGCTTCTGGATATCAGGACTGAGATTACTCACCTTGTACTGGACGAAGATTGTTTCTTTAACGAGTCGGACGCAAAGGATTTACTTCAGACACCCGACAAGGCCCAAATCGCCGTCATTCGCAGGAGAAAGAGACTGAGATATCAGGGACGTAGGTCGGGGTGCCTTGTCAGGATCCAACGGCGAGTGGGTAATCTGCCTCTACCATCAGTCATGATAAGCTGTAGACCACACTATTTACCTAGAGAGTTTTCATCAATATTTTTCGTAGCTGTCTATTTACCACCACAAACCGATGCTGGCACTAAGACCGCACTCAATGAGCTGTATAAGGCCATAAGCAAACAGGAAAACACTCATCCAGAGGCGGCGCTCCCATTGGCCGGGGACTTTAATGCATGGAAACTTAAATCCATTTTACCTCATTTCTGTGCAGCCAGAGAATTCTAGACCACCTTTACTCCACACTAGAGATGTGTACAAAGCTCTCCCTCGCCCTCCATTTGGCAAATCTGACCATAATTCTATCCTCCTGATTCCTGCTTACAAGCAAAAACTAAAGCAGGAAGCACTGTCAATAAAGAAGTGGTCAGATGACGCAGATGCTAAGCTACAGGTCTGTTTTACTGGCACAGACTGCAATATGTTCCGGGATTCTTCCGATGGCATTGAGGAGTACACCACATCAGTCACTGGCTTCATCAATAAGTGCATTGATGATGTTGTCCCCACAGTGACCATACGTACATACTCCAACCAGAAGCCATGGATTACAGGCAACATCCGCACTGAGCTAAAGGCTAGAGATGCCGCTTTCAAGGAGCGGGACTCTAACCCGGACGCTTATAAGAAATCCCACTATAACCTCCGACGAACCATCAAACAGGCAAAGCGTCAATACAGGGCTAAGATTGAATCGTACTACTCCGGCTCCGATCCTCGTCGGATGTGGCAGGGCTTGCAAACTATTACAGACTACAAAGGGAAGCACAGCCGCGAGCTGCCCAGTGACACGAGCCTACCAGACGAGCTAAATTACATCTATGCTCGCTTCGAGGCAAGCAACAATGAAGCATGCATGAGAGCATCAGCTGTACCTGACTGAGTCTGTAATACCAACATGTTTCAAGCAGACCACCATAGTCCCTGTGCCCAAGAACACTAAGGTAACCTGCCTAAATGACTACAGACCCGTAGCAGTCACATCTGTAGCCATGTGAGTGTAGCTTTGAAAGGCTGGTCATGGCTTACATCAACACCATTTTCCCAGAAACCCTAGACCCACTCCAATTTGCATACCGCCCCAACAGATCCACAGATAATGCAAACTCTATTGCACTCCACACTGCCCTTTCCCACCTGGACAAAAGGAACACCTACGTGAGAATGCTATTCATTGACTACAGCTCAGCGTTCAACACCATAGTGCCCTCAAAGCTCATCACTAAGATAAGGACCCTGGAAGACACAACAGTGGTAGTCCTGATCAACGACGAGACAGCATATAGGGAGGAGGTCAGAGACCTGGCCGTGTGGTGCCAGGATAACAACCTCTCCATCAACGTGATCAAGACAAAGGAGATGATTGTGGACTACAGGAAAAGGAGGACCGAGCACGCCCCCATTCTCATCGACAGGGTTGTAGTGGAGCAGGTTGAGAGCTTGAAGTTCCTTGGTGTCAACATCGCCAACAAACTATCATGGTCCAAACACACCAAGACAGTCGTGAAGAGGGCACGACAAAGCCTATTCCCCCTCAGGAGACTGAAAAGATTTGGCATGGGTCCTCAGATCCTCAGAAGGTTCTACAGCTGCACCATCGAGAGCATCCTGACTGGTTGCATCGCTGCCTGGTATGGCAACTGCTCGGCCTCCGACCGCAAGGCACTACAGAGGGTAGTGCGTACGGCCCAGTACATCACTGGGGCCAAGCTTCCTGCCATCCAGGACCTCTATACCAGGCGGTGTCAGAGGAAGGCCCTAAAAATTGTCAGACTCCAGCCACCCTAGTTATAGACTGTTCTCTCTGCTACCGCATGGCAGCTTCTACCCCCAAGCCATAAGTCTCCTGAACAGCTAATCAAATGGTTACCCGGACTATTTGCATTGTCGATCCCCCCCACATTGCTCTGTTTATTATCTGTGCATAGTCACTTTAACTCTACCTACATGTACATATTACCTCAATTACCTCGACTAACCTGTGCCCCCGCACATTGACTCTGTACCGGGACCCCCTGTATATAGCCTCGCTACTGTTATTTTACTGCTGCTCTTTAATTATTTGTTATTTGATACTTATTTATTTTTTACTTATCTATTTTTTACTTAACCAATAATGCAGTTTAAAGAAAAATAAGTGTTAAGGGCTTGTAAGTAAGCATTTCACTGAAGGTCTACACCTGTTGTATTCGGCGCATGTGACAAATAACATTTGATTGTATTTTTACCCTTCATTTCTGACACCAGTCCTTTTTACCCTTCATCTCTGACACCAGTCCTTTTTACCCTTCATTTCTGACACCAGGCCTTTTTAAGCCTTCATTTCTGACACCAGTCCTTTTTTACCCTTCATTTCTGACACCAGTCCTTTTTTACCCTTCATTTCTGACACCAGTCCTTTTTTACCCTTCATTTCTGACACCAGTCCTTTTTTATCCTTCATTTCTGACACCTAAGCCTTTTTAACCCTTCATTTCTGACACCAGGCCTTTCCTTTGAAATCCATTAAGGGAAGTGAACCAGTGCCAACTTAGAGCAGAAGGTTATAGAATTGAGACGTAAGGAGAGTTTCTTTGAATAAGGACGTTATGTCAGAGCAGTGACGTATTGATACATTGACAAAACTTCCATATGGGGTCTTTAACCTTGCCTGCCTATGAACCACAATAACCCCCTACTCTCTTGACTTTGCTATTGAAGACCCTTTCCCTTTCTCCTTTCCTGTTGATTGTCACTATAATGACCTTTGATCTTTGCCTTGGCTCCTGTGGTTGTGTTGTAGGTGACCGGTCCATGTCCACCTCCCTGTCGGCCTCCCAGCTCCACACGGTCAACATGAGGGACCCTCTTAACCGCGTCCTAGGTTAGAGCAACGCACCTGTCTCAAACCTTTAGCACCTAGCAGGCATCATGGCTTACCAGGGCATGTTCTCCTACTAAGCGATTGACAGTTTGCCCCCTTGCTTTTGATATTTTCAAAATGTACAATGTGCCTTTATGTTGTATTGCTTGTCATAATGATCATTTTACGATTTCATTCTACCTTCTATGTTTAATAAACGATTTCATTCTACCTTCTATGTTTAATAAAAAAAACGCTTAGTAAATCTGGCCCCTAGTTGACCGCTCGCTTACGTCCGCCATGCTTTCTCTTCCTGTGAAGCCAACCTCTTCCTGCTGATCTCGTCCATCCTGGGCTCGAAGACGGCAGGGCCACACACCCAGTTTGTGCAGAGCTTCATGGAGGAGTGTGTGGAGTGTCTGGAGCAGGGCAGCCGCGGAAGCATTCTGCAGTTCATGCCTTTCACCATGGTGAGTGGTGGGAGGAAAGCTAGGGTTAACCATGTGATAGCTGTTGGTTGTTAGTGATTAACAACTTTTGATAGGAATTGTGACCTCTGGCATTATATATTTACTTAATACAAGTTAGATTACTGCCATGATGGGTTTTAGAGTGGTGTTGAAGAATGTGGAGAATGCCACAGCTGTTCACGTGTGTCTGTCTGTTTGCGTGTGTCTGTGTGTCTGCCCCCAGGTCTCAGAGCTGGTGAAGCTTCCTGCGCTGGCCAAGCCCAAGGTGGTCTTGGGCATCACTGACCTGACTCTGCCACTGGGGAGGAGGGTGGCAGCCAAGGCCATCTCAGCCTTATAGACCCCTGATGGTGCCCACTGCCCGGGCATCAGCTCACCCACCGCCGCCTTCTCCATGGATTCTATTCTCCCAGTCACTCAGGGCCGAACCCAACTTCCACTTAAATCAAATTTTCATGTAGTCTCACATTACATTTTACATTTTAGTCATTTAGCAGACGCTCTTATCCAGAGCGACTTAGTGAGTGCATACATTTTTCATACTGGCCCTCCGTGGGAATCGAACCCCGAAGTTCATGCGCCATGCTCTACCAACTGAGCTACAGGAGGCCACATTGACATCGATGCATGACTAAGTGAAAATTAGACTAAAGTGGAAGTAAGGATTTGCTCCTCAAAGCTTGGCCCCTCATAGATGGAACATGCTATCGTAGTTTCATCACCTTGGCATGGAAATGCCAGTTTCACCATACTCTTGAGTTGGTGACCAAATAGTTGTGTTATTAAACCATGGTTGCATCCATCATTCATTCGAAGATAGTTTTGTCTTTCATTTTGATCTTAATGGTTGCTATATCGGTGAAAACATAATTTGTACACTGTTTTGTATTGCTCCCCTGGCATCCTATCGATAAAATGTACATAATGGTTTTTTTTTATAATAAAGAATCATGAAAATGTAATTACTTTTGTATTTTATTTTAAAATATATTTTCCAGGGATGTTCTTTATGCTGATATTTTTCAGAACTCTAATATTTTCACTTAAACACAGTTGAATATAAGTTAATTGACCTTCAGCATTTCTTGTAAAAGAAAAATAGGTTACCTGTAACATTGTTTACAGTGACGTCCTGCCTTGACTGGCTTTGAATTTTGTCCTAAAAAATATGGCTAGTGAATGTCACAATCCCATGACAGATGATCACATGACATTATGTAAATCTCGAAATAAACACTGTTTGAGACATATAGGGCCTTATTCATTAGGGCACAACATAGCAAAATGTTTTATAATGGAAAATCAAAACTATTGTTTCTTATTGGTCAAATTGAGGTAATCCCTCCCTGTTTTAGTCTGTTTTCTTCCCGTTTGGTGCATAGTGAACACGACCCAGCGAAAGACCACAGTGACCATAATAATCCCACATTGCAGAAGATGCTTACTCACTGTGTTGAATAATCCTGAACTTCCTCTGTAGCCGGTCAACCAGTGGCGGCTCCTGAAAAAATTCTCAGGGGGGGCAATTTTTCTGATGATTTAGGTGACCTACACACATTTAAAAAAAGATATGTCCAGCAACAACATGAAGACAGGGGCAGCATATAAGTCAATACCAGAAGCATTTATTGACTGATCTCAAAAGTGTTGGCTTACCAGGGTTGGTGGAGCCCTCAGTTTCATCTTTGCCTCGCAAAGCTAACTCAAACACTCCGCAAAACTTCACACACTGGATTAGCCGGCTGAGGATGTGGCGGTTCTTGCTAATGTCGTAGTAAATATATTTGTTATAGTGAATATGGAATATGATATGTTGAGTAAAATGTTGTGCTAAGATCTATTTAGGTCAGGAGCTGGTTATAAGTTCTGTTCCTATCCAATAACAATGGACAAAAGGGTCCTATCTTGTCAGCCTTGTCAGTTTCAGTTCTCCAGTAAACTTGTGATTATTACATTTACATTTACATTTTAGTCATTTAGCAGACGCTCTTATCCAGAGCGACTTACAGTTAGTGAATACATCATTTTTTACTGGCCCCCGTGGGAATCGAACCCACAACCCTGGCGTTGCAAACGCCATGCTCTATCAACTGAGCTACATCCCTGCCGGCCATTCCCTCCCTACCCTGGACGACGCTGGGCAATGTGCGCCCCCTGAGTCTCCCGGTCGCGGCCGGTCAGAATTGTAGTTTCAGTCTCCAGTTAAACTGTGATTATCAACACTAACTATCGTTGTGGCGGCGGACAGCTAGCGTGTATCCCTCATCCAGTTGAGTGGGAATGTCACTCTCCCAAAGCAGTCAATCTCAAACACTATCCATGTGGGTCTTTGACAGCTCATGTTTCTTAATCTTTCCTGAAAGATGGTGCATGTCCGTTACACACCAGTCGCTGTCCAAGCGGTGCTGTCTGCCGTGCCGCCTTCAGGGTGAAAGAGTAAGAGGGGGTAGCAGAAGACTGCATTAGCTACATCGCAGCCTGCTAGCCAGGGTTTTTCGTTCGTACCAATTTTTTGGAAAATCCTCGGGTGTAGGACTTCCCCCCTTTAGTAGAAACCTGTTGAATTATTAAATTTGGTCTGGGAGGTCCTAATTGTTTCGTTGCCAATTTATCTTCATTTGTTCGCCGACAAAAAGGAACTTCTTTCAAAGACACAATCGAGTTGCACTGAAGCCTAGCCATTTTGATAGTAGTAGTGAATTGATTGAGGCTGCTACCCGCTCTTTTCTTAGTTACGTTCATGGTTATGTTACGTATGACGAAAGCGCGTAAGTGCAAGCCCTCAGAAACCCATAGAGATTGTATTGAAAGCTCTGATATTTGAAAAAAATAGATTTTACATGGGAGTCTATGACAGACTTCTGGGCGATTTTCAACCTGACTGAAATCGCCCCAAAAGGGGGGGGGGCCATTTGAAGCACGACTTTAGCCTGATTGGACATTTAGTGGCACTGTGGCAGATCAGACGTCTAGATTACAACACTGATAACTACTGTTGCCGTGATATAATTGATTAGAAAAAAAATCCCTTCCTTTTCCCGTTTGGCAGTGCGTCGCCCATATCGCCCTATTGAACACACCGCCCCTGCGGTCAACTAAGCATCTAGACACAAAGCTTTTAAGGAACTACTGCTTTTACTAGACAGCCCCTGTCCTACTTTCCCATGGCAAATGCAAAAAAGGGAGCGTCGCAACAGAGGACAGAGGATTTTTACGCGCTTCAGCGGTCCTGTTCTGTGAGCTTGTGTGGCCTACCACTTCACTGCTGAGCCGTTGTTGGTCCTAGACGTTCTCTTTACTATAACAGCACTTACAGTTGACCAGGGCAGCTCTATCAGGGCAGAAATTTGACGAACTGACTTGATGGAAAGGTGGCATCCTATGATGGTGCCACGTTGAAAGTCACTGAGCTCTTCAGTACGGGCCATTCTGTCAATGATTGTCTATGGAGATTGCATGGCTGTATGCTCAATTTTATACACTTGTCAGCAGCGGGTGTGGCTGAAATAGCCGAATCCACAAGTTTGAAAGGGTGTCTACATACTTTTGTATGTATCTAAAACAGTTACATCATTAGATCCCCACTGACTTTAAAAAAATAAAGAGTTTAGGGCTTCTTACTCCATAAATACAAAATGAAAGTTAGCTCAGGCTCAAATATCCATTCAGTTCAGTAGGAGTAGTGGGTGGACATGGGTTGGAATAATATTTGGTGTGAGCTAATGCATTGCACGTGACAAAATAAAATGTACCAATATTCCTTAGATGAAGGACAACATACAGTATGAAATTGCACTTCCCTGTGGTTATCAGATACGTGTGTGGAATTGTCACTATAAAAATCATTTTTCATCTAACTTATGAAATACAAATGGTGGCTTCATGGAATGCATTTGACATATCAAAATATTTTTTCTAAATACATCACAATTAAATATCAAACAATAACTTAATAAATCTTAATATTACATTGTAAAGCTGGTAATTACTCAAGAATACCCCCCAAAAAACGTTCTCAATGACACATTAGGAAAAAAGTTTATAACAGCTCACAAAGCTTACAGGGGAATTATTGAGTAGACTTAACTGAAATGTGCAATAAAAAAGCTTTTAAATAACATTTTTAAAGCATTTATATAAATAAACATACAATCATAAATAGACAAAATAATAAATAAATATAATATAAATATACATCACCATAAAAACATAGCAATTAGTAAGTTTTGGATCAATACCAAAAACTATAAAGACGTAGGCTACAGTCCAGCATCATCCCTCTCACCATTGGCTTGGGCTATGTTTCTTAAACTGCAGACTATGCCCTGGTCAGAGCTTTGGAGCTGCACCAGGCTCAGGTGTGTGGCTACCTGGACGTCATAGGCCCCGTTGAAACAAGAGGCCAGGCTTGTGGCTGTGGGCTGCACAGTCCGCTTGGACCGCTTTCAGCATCTGAGATACAAAAAACACTTCAATCATCATTTATGTCTGAACAGTGTTTGAATCGAATGGATTTTATAATGCTATGTGTGTGTGTGTATGTGCGCCTTTTTTTGTGTATGCCCTTTATTGTGTGTGTGGTTTGTAAGTTGTTTTATATGGAGTCTCACCCTGTTGATCTGGACATGGAGATCTCTGATATCAGTCAGCAGTGCAGTGAGGTTCTCTGTTTTGGCCAGGCGTTGTTGGACAGCTCTCAGCAGGTCCCCCTCCACCGATGGAGAGAAATCTAATGTCAAAATAATGTCTTATTTCTAATTTCTTACGCCATATTTCTTATAGTTTATAATCAGGACCCAGAGTTGTTCCTGGTCAGGTCAAGAAGTCACTATAGACTCCAGGTAGTTTCCCAGCCTGGTCTCAGAAAGTAGTCAGACCCCTTGACTTTTCCCACATTTTGTTACGTTACAGCTTTATTCTAAAATTGCTTAAATTATTTCTTTCCCCCTCATGAATCTACACACAATACCCAATAATGACAAAGCAAAAATAGGTTTAGAAATGTTTGCTAATTTATAAAAAATACAAAACTTAAATATGACATTAACATAAGTATTCAGACGCTTTACTTAGTACTTTGTTGAAGCACCTTTGGCAGTGATTACAGCATTGAGTCTTCTTGGGTATGACGCTACAAGCTTGGCAAACCTGTATTTGGGGAGTTTCTCCCATTCTTCTCTGCAGATCCTCTCAAGCTCTGTCAGGTTGGATGGGGAGCGTTGCGGCACAGCTATTTTCAGGTCTCTCCAGAGATGTTCGATCGGGTTCAAGTCCGGGCTCTGGCTGGGCCACTCAAGGACATTCAGAGACTTGTCCCGAAGCCATCCTGCGTTGTCTTCGCTGTGTGCTTAGGGTCGTTTTCCTGTTGGAAGTTGAACCTTCGCCCCAGTCTGAGGACCTGAACGCTCTGGAACAGGTTTTCATCAAGGATCTCGCTGTACTTTACTTCGTTCATCTTTGCCTCGATCCTGACTAGTCTGTCAACCCCTGCCGCTGAAAAACATCACCATAGCATGATGCTGCCACCACCATGCTTTACCGTAGGGATGGTGCCAGGTTTCCTCCAGACGTGACCCTTGGCATTCAGGCCAAAGACTTCAATCTTGGTTTCATCAGACCAGAGAATCTTGTTTCTCATGGTATGAGAGTCTTTAGGTGCCTTTTGGCAAACTCCAAGCAGGCTGTCATGTGCCTTTTACTGAGGAGTGGCTTCCGTCTGGCCACTCTACCATAAAGGCCTGATTGGTGGAGTACTGCAGAGATGGTTGTCCTTCTGGAAGGTTCTCCCATCTCCACAGAA